TATTGAATACGAACTCAATCTAATAACGTTAAAAATAAAAATGGTTGAAGGTCTGAAATAAATATTGTTTTGGGGATAGTAAAGCTTGATAAACAATACTAATGGTAATATGAAGTAATAAAAGTGCTCTAAAATATATAATAATTTTTTTGAAGCGTTAATTTTTTTTTATATTAAGTGTCCTAAAAATTATAAACGACAGTGTACGTACGTGAAGGAATCTCCAGTTTGTCATAGTTTCTGCTAGAAATCATACGATTGATTAAGTGATTGTAAACTGATAAATACCGATTTCAATCAATTGTTATCATAAATATTAGTGTTTAGACATATAAAAATGTTTCATAAGGCTAAAAGTTATTTTATTTCCATAAATTTGATTTATGTCAAATGTGTTCAGGTACTTATTGTTTGTATAACTGTTATATACCTTCCACGTGACTGGGTATTAAATACTAATTCCACAGAGATCTAAATAATTTAATTAATTTCTACTCTCGTTACGCACTGGTAATTAATAGAAACAATTGTTATGTAATTGTCGCGTAAGTGAATATCATTTGCGGACATAACGTAGCGATTTATTTTCAGTTATATTGTAGCAAATTGAGGATACAGTTTAATTATAATGGTGAGTTATAAAGATTACAGTATGCAAATGACATTACCGATCAATACATTTGAATTTACAAATTATTATAACATAGAGATCAGGTAATGGAGTACAATAATACATTTAATAGCAATAACTGTAATAAAAAAATGAAGTCTACAATATAATTTTAATTTAATTTCCTGGGAAAGTAAAATTCTGAATAAATGTAATGAAGGAACGTAATTATTTAGAAACTGTTTAGAGTACAGAAAGTTAACAACTTCTACGATGGTCGCTGATAACCGGCGCCATTAAATTCTATGAAATAACATTTAACTTTTACACAGTAACATTTATAATGTAAGTACTTTCCCTTTTTTATCATATATTTTTTGTATGTCTTATGTATATTACTTATTACACTTATTTTATTTATTATTATTACTATAATAATTAAATTTTATTTAACTCTCCGTGGGTAATGTGAGTCGTTGACGACTCAAGCGAAATTTCAGTTTTTCCGGACTTTCCTCCGACTTTATATTTTTATTGAAGAAAGTTTCGAACATTCGACTCAACGAACGATTTCAGAATGCAGTAAAGACTTCGATAATTATAGCAATAGTTTTTTTTTAAATTTATGAAACCCTGAAGCACTACAAATTAAACTTGAACATTAACGACGACCTCGTTTGCCTACGGAGTCTGAAAAAATATGTTTGCCTACGGGCATTGAATTATTATACTCTTGTAAATATAATTACTACATAGTATAGTAACAGTCAAAATAATACATATACAAGCCAGTATGTAAAAATTGATATTCTCAATAACGAAACCATAAACCATTTCATCGTGATATTGCTTCAAATAGTGAACAATTTTTTATCAACGCATTAGAGTACATATGTATACCGTAGATAGCGTCTATTATCGATGTCACAGATATTTTTGGTATTGAATGAATGTAAGAGATACGAGGTGTTCGCACTTATTCGTACAAATCACCCATTACAACAGGTACCTTAATCATGCTCATCAGATGAATCAGAGTCGAACACGACGTAAACATACATATCGTACGAACGACACCGCTGTTCACAATGAATTCGGGTTATGGCGTCGGACAATCGCGTATTGACACTGGGTTTGTAACTACGCGCGCGTGAACATGCCATAGAAAAGATCAAATTGCCATTACGCGACGCGTAACTACAATTAATTGCGTCGCGAGGATCTGCACAACGTTCGTGCCCCATTTTAGAGTCACGTCTGTTCGGTGTCGCCATTACATATTGAACCCCAACCACAAACAGAAACGTGTATTTTATTAATTTTAAAATTTTATTTTGTGACATGATAAACTTCTTTTTATTCAGATTGATTGATTCAGCTGTTCAGAGGTCAAAGTGACTAACTTCATTTATTGAATTTTTTTTTTCAAATTTTAACGCCAAACCACCTGATTGGTGCTTAACTTTTTATATTTAAAATGAAATTTGAATTACAAATAAATTTTCTTGTATATTTTCGACCTATCTTTAAAATCACCTCTTACCCAGTTGTAACATCAGTTATATAACATCCTGTATATTAAATCAATCAGTCAGTTTAATATGCAGTACTTAACGATTACTTTAACTATTGTGTCAATAAAAATGAGATAAAACAACATATTCAATTAAACATTTATTTTTGTTTCTGAAAGTCCAGGAAAGTCAAAGAAAGTCCAGGGTTACTGAATACTTAATATTTCCTTAAATATTGTTCGAAATAATTGAGAACACAGAACATGTAAAGATGGAAGTTAATTTTCGTATGTCTCTTTAGTTACAATATTTCAAATTTCTCCTTTTAGTAATTACATCTCTCGGAAAAGAAAATTAATCAAAACTGTAAACAATTGGCCAAACGTTATTAAAATTCACGTTCTGAAATCGATTTCGATCGCCAGAACACGTTTAGTTTAATGTGACATAAAGTGTTAACAAGTAATCTACTACTTGATGTAGAAGAATCCAATAATTTGATTAGAGAGGAAATGTGTGTAACCTGACAGGTTGGGGACGGAATGTTTGTATTTCAAGCAGCGAATGTGAACTACCTACTACGTCTCGATAATATTGATGCAAGGTTTGATTGGCGATAACAGTTATTTTGTCGAGTATCTTTTAGAAGTATGTACAAGAACAGAAAAAGCGATATGGTATCGTTGCTTGCTGCTACTTGGTCCAGTGATATCGAAACTCTTTGCAGTTTTTTTTAATGTTGCTATTATGTAACTTTATATTACATAATTGTTAATTGATATTAATAATATAAATCGATAGAAGTGTGTAGGATATATGATTGTTTATAATTCAGTATAGTCCAATACCAACATAGGAATATGTTGGAACCATTGTTTATTGAAATAATGGAACCATTAATTAGATAAACAAATTTGTGATTAATTCAGTCTCGATAAATTAATTCATAAACTGTATTTATGTAAATGTTTGTTTTTGTAATCACCAAGAATCACCATTGATTCATCGAGCAGTCCGAAACGTCAGAAAAATCCCCAACTTGTGGGAAATTGGACAATCCATCTTGTCTCGTATTCCGAGGACGCGCGCCGCCTTGGTGGTTCTCCGGCATTGCACGCGGATCTTGCTAAATCCCCACGGGTTGACCTACAGCATACCGAGACGATCCAGGGGCACGTCAGGTCGGTGGGTTAGACCCCGAATAGACTGTCAATGAGGTGTCCAGCTGTGCCCATCCTGTGCAACATAGAACGGCAACAATAATTACACACGATCGTAACAGTCCCTCCTGAACTCCCGGCACGTTTTTACCAGCCCCACCATTCGCATAAACAGCCCGCGTAGAGCGTATGGCCGCGGTTTGCAGCGTTTAGTCGCTAGTTAACCGTGCTCGTTTGATAGACAGCAGTCCGTTTCCCGGTCGGTACTGCTCGTACGCGTCGTCGTCGTCGTGACCGTTCGCGCGACACCGGAAGGAATATTCAATCTTCAACCACGCCGCTACTTCCGGTTCCGTAGGGTTCACCACGAATGTCGAAAGAACACACAGCCAGATGAAGCTGGTAGACCAGCCTTTCTTGATCATAGTCGAATCCCAGGCGGATAAGATGATCCGAACTCAGTGATCCGTGATGAAAATCCGCCATTGTCGTGCTTTCATCAGTTCTGGCGTTTACTGGTTTCACGAGTCGCCAGTGGCCAGCGACGCGTGATCGATCCACCGACCACGTGATCCAAAGTGACACCCAACATTGTTTCGCCTGGAGATCAAAGACAGAGTACCAAGAGGGCAGGATCTCCTCTTGGGGAAGGAAAGACGGTCGTTACTGCATACTAACAAAGGGAAGAGTGAGTTAGAACCGGCACGGACGACCTTGAATCCCGACGCTAACGAGGTGAACAAAGCTCTCTCGTGTGCGTCGGTGGAAGAGGATCTACGGCGCGGTAGAAGCGGGTCAAGGTGTCAAAGACGTCAGTTCGAGACAGAGAGAGAGAGAGAGAGAACCCGTCAAGATATCGGCACAAGGTGTTAGCGACACGGGGCACTACCCCGATTCCCCTGGGAAAACAAACCGTCACGCGACACACTGTTAACAACGGCCCCGGCTGTCCCCCCCTCCCCACCACCGTATCAACCGCGTGATCGTTCGATCAACCGATCGGGGGGATCATCGTGTTTGGACTTTCACGGAATCATTGTCACGCGACGACTCTCCGCTGTCAACGATCGACAGGGAGACCCGCTGGCGGATACGCAATCGTGACTCCGCGCGACCGGACGCACACCATCGGCAGTCAATCGCGAGTTGACCGTTACGACGATCGGTCCGTCAAAGATACGATCTACCGTGTCTACGTTTGTTCCTTTGTTTTCGACGTTCTTCGATCTCGAGCGTGAATCTGTATACTTTATCGGAATAGCAAATTGTCGAATTGAACTGGTGAATCGGTGAAGATTATTGACAGTATTATCATCGAGAGATTCTAGACTCTACTCCCGTTGGTGATCGAAGAAGGTTTTGAAATTTAAGAGATCATCCTCTTCCAGAGAGTCCAGTGAAAAGCTGAAAACGTTTCAGTGGTACTTGACTGTCCTTAGTTCGAATTTAAAGGATCTTACTATCGATCGATATATAAATCTCAAGTTAATCCCAACTTGAGCCCAGTGGAAGTAATTGAATCGCCCTAAAGCTTCTGTATATCTCCATTCACGGTAATAATTGTCAATTTTCACCTGTGTTCGCGCATGACATCTGGGCCCTATAAGGTGATTAACAAGTCCAGCCTCTCGTGCCACCGTGGACGAGCCATTGTACGCGATCTCGGGGCTGTGTTATCACAGCAAACGTCGTTCCCGTGACACGAGGCCGCTCGATATGGATATCGACATGAGGACAAACAAATCGACAGAGGAATTAGCGAAAAGACGGGTCTCCATTAGCGATCAGATCCTCGGCGGGGTGGATAATCCCACGTTTGATCATCATCGGCGCATAAGCGCCAGCTCCGAGCATAATTCCGATCAGGGTCGGGGGAAATCGATACTGGCTCACGGGACGGGTAACTACGGTAGCGCGGAGAATCTGCCACAGCACAAGTTCGATCTCGAGAACGGCAGGATCAATGGGAACAGGAAGAAATCCGCGTACAGCCTGACCAGCTCCATCAGGGATAAGATTGAATACTCGGAGGAGCTCGAACGGTGAGACGCTTTAGACCGATCATTAAGACTTTTAGATTTTGTGCATCCCGTGGTTGTGAGTGCAGTGATGGTGAAAGGAACGTTTGAAAGTCATATTTTTATATGTATTTATTAACCCTGACATTACTGGCGTTCTTTTGACACTAGAACTATCGACGATAAACGGATATTTGCTTCGATCGGTGGATAAACGTGAAAAACTTCTGAAAATTTAGAAATTTAGAAATTGACTAATTTCTTCACTTTCATTTCGTAATAAAAGGTGCAAAAAATCAGAGAAATTGTCATGACATTTTAATCGTCGTTGTAAGTGTGTATTGACAAGTCATTTTTACTTGCTTGGTAGTTCTAGTGTTAAAGAAGTTTCTTTCTGCCGATCGTAATGAAATGTTCCAAGTATTGTCACTAAAGTAATAACGTAGGCATCCACTGCAGTAGAGCAATGCAGTTAGCTGGTTAAAAGGACATAGCAGAATACATTACGCTGAGTGAATTACGAAGAAAGTGTTGTTGCAAGTTACTTTCAACACGAGAATTTTGATATAAATCTATTTTAACAGTTTAAGGACTGTTTAATTTTTTGTTATGTTAAATTTTTGTCCATAGTACACGGATGTCGCTTCGCGATGAGCGACTATAATCGTTCACATTATGGAAAGAGTTAATAACTCTGAAACGAAGCCACGAACGCAATTTCGTTATTCTTGATTTTCGTCATAGTTTGGCGTGTAAAATCCATCATGCGGATGTGTCCCACATGTTTATTAACACCCTGTTTTAAAGTCAATTGTATAAATTTTGTTATACTTTAATTAGTTTGGGGTGTCAAATACATCCTGTCAAAGTGTCCCTAATTTCTTCAACACCCTGTACTAAATTGTATTGTATAATATAATAATATACAATATAATGAACACAATTTCTGGCAGAAGTACCATCATGATTTCTATAATTATTGTGAAGCAAAAAATTTGTAATCCGTCATTTTCATGGGGTCGATAAGTCTACCGTCAAAGGGATCAACGAATAACATGGGGCAAACACCTGTGCATTTTTTCTCGAACTATTTCCACGAACATTATAATAAAATGGGAAGCAATGTCCTTGCTCATCGAGTCAAAGAGAAAATTCGTGAAAACTATTCGAGGTAGGCGACTCTAATGAAATTGATTGTAACGGATCTAGGAAGCGTCGCGGGGATTGTGATGTAACGGTCGCAGTTACAAAGCCTGTCATTTCCAATCGCCTTGATAAGATCATAAAGTCTAATGAGATTAAATCAACCGCGGTGCTGAGTTTCCTATAGATTTCACTGTCTCTCCGCGTTTCTGAAAGTATGCGCGTACGCGCCACACTTTTGGATTCTTCTCCGTCGTTTTTCTCCCATTCGTGGTTCGTTTCCAAGTGTCCTGTCCGCGTATGAAAAATTCATCTATTGAATATTACGTAGATCACGTATCCAGTAGAATCGAACGATATGGAGCACACACGACGAAGTCGTGGAAAACCCGAAGGACGTGTGTATTACCTGGTTTATTTCTAAGTTTATCTTTTTGTCTCCTCGATCAATTGATAATCTGTTTCTATAAAACCTTTGGTTTAACCTTCTGCAGGCTGACGTGTAGATAGTTTTCTATTGGTCCGTATCAATATCTGTTTACTTGTTTATTTTTCAAGTATGTATAGTCACCATGTGTATGAAGCAAAATTGTATGTAATTTTACTTCTTGTGTTAAGGGTTATTATTGACGTATTTAACTTGATTGCATTAAGAATAACAAACATAAAGTATGAAACTTTATCAAAATCTTTATTTTACTACGTTTTACAACTTAGAAGACGATATATGTAAATGCATAAACATCTGCAGTCTATTGATCACAATCGGAGAATATTTTAAATTCAACTGTTTCAGTTTTTTTTAATACGACTGCAGTGTCCCATAGTTCAATACAGTATATCCACATAGGGTTCATAGCATTATGGATTAAAAGTTTATTTTTAGGCTTTTCTTTGAAGTGTCTACCTGTGACCCAGTATATATTTTTTCTCTCTGTTGTATACAATATTAGGCGCATGCAGAAGTCACGACCGCTTTTTTATCGAAAATTTTTTATGTACATTGAACAATTTCCCGATTTCCATAAATGTCTTTTTGGCAAAAGTGGAATTCCGTATTCATAAAATAAAATAAAAATAAAGAATACTAAATTAAAGTATAGTAAATTGAAGTAAAATAAAATTTCAGAATAATTTTCCATATCAATTTGCAACACATGAAGGTGACTCAGCAACGATTTATATTTTACTTTTATATTTATTATAACATTATTTCCTTTGAATAAAATTTCTATAACTTAGAAATATTTCAATTCGTTCCATTGTTCTCTCAGGAGATAAGCAATCAATCATGTAACGAGTGCAGCCACTTACAAATACTGCAGTGTAAAAAACTTTCTTTGGTATCTACCGAATAATGCGGATAGATAAGCAAGCGCCGATGTTTGCAGTGACAGGCATAGAAAATAATATCACAAGAGAGTAGTAGTAACTATAATTACCAGGAAATCAAATCGAAAAATTTTTTAAAATAGACTCTAATAAGAGTACATAAAATTAAATGAAAATATGCAGCATCTTCTGTAGTAAAGTGGTACAATGTGTTCACTCATGTCAAACATTATATCAAATTATTGTTTCTGCGTAAGTGGTTTGCAGTATAGTCAACTAATTCATGTTGTTTCTTTAGTAAATTGAAATAAATTTCTTCAATATCTCAATTTTGCGTCAATATTACTTTACTTGTATTGTACAAAATTGTAGAGTTTATGAAACTACAGAATTTTTACGTGCAATATTGACAGTGATATTAAACAAAATTCGAATACAAGTACGATTCACCGAAAAGTTTCGTTCTCAAACTGTTCGCCTGACTCGTTTCACCGGGTATATTGACTTTGCTTCTTCTTTTTCCTTCCCGTCTGCTTCTGCTCCGTGACTTACGTCGAACTTTTAAATCAGCACTCTGCACTTCACACAATCTATTTGTATTTCGTATTTCCGACTTCCCCGCGCACACCTCCGATTTCGTGTTCTCTGATCTCGCGATACCTTGTGCCTGGAGTGTCTGAAATATCGAGCTTAAATATGCATCGAAGAACAGATCTGTGTCTCCCGATATTGTTATTCGAGTGGTTTCTAACACGTTTCCAATATATAGCCAGTGAATGTTTAAGAAAATTTACAGTTTTATTGATTTCTTTATGAAAACAGAATCAACACAATGTATAAATTTGTAATATTTATTTTCTTAAAAAAAACTTTTTCAAAATCATTTTTTTTGAGAATTTCTTCCCACTGATGTATAGACAAACAAAACCGATATAAAACCTATCTAAACTTTTTGTTCTGATATCCATTGTAGTTTATGACTTACAAGCAAACAAGTAAAATGGCCATTACGGATAACAATGATGGTTCCTCCTTTAAACTCTAAAACTAGCACCAACCAAGTACGACAAAATTCTTAGATTTATCCTATAAACAATTCACCAAAGTTACCGAGTAATCGATGTGTATCACTTCACGGAATTCAAAATTGTAATATTTATTTTCAAAATTGTTCTACGTCACGGGGTGTATACGAACAAGTGTGGACGTAAAGCCTCCAAGCTTTTATCTTCTTGATGCTCGTTTTCAGGTCGTGGCTGTACCTATTCTGCGCGCGATGCCACGGTCGCGACGACACACCGTCATGGGAGCCGCCCGGTTGGAGAAAAGCCTGTCCCCAGCCATTTTGTCCAAGCTACAGAAAATTCGCCCGGATACTGTGTCTCTTCCTGTTAGGGCTGCTACTATGGGGCATGGTCTACTGCATCCTGGGCGAAGACGCCGCCCCCGGTGGTCCGTTGTTTGGTCTCGCCGCTCTTTGTTTGGCCGCACATTTCGGCGGATGGTTGTTCTCCTTGACCACCCTTCCCGCCTTGATCGGCATGCTGATCACCGGTATCATACTTCAGAACGTCGGCCTGGTCCACATTGAGGGCAGCTACTCCGGGTGCATTTCCAATCTTCGGTGAGTTTACCATTTTTGTCTATTACAGTAATTCCTCGATGAATGCAACGCGAGCAACAATTTTATTCCCACCACTGGGGATTCCTTTTTGGAATCAGTCGAAACAGAGTAATCGGAAGCTAAGCAGAGGCTCGGCTTCGTGCAAAAAAAAAAACAAATTTATGAGGGGCTGAAAACCTTTCTGCCCTGCCACGAATGCTCTGAAACGGACCCGAGTCCGTCGCACTCATCGAGACATCGCTGTATTTCTGTTAATTTTGTTGTGTCCTGGTGTTAGTTTCAGATTCATTTTATTTACAGTTAGTACAGAACTATACAGAGTGATACAAAAAAGACATTAGCTCTGTTTAGGAGTAGGATTAGTAAATTATGTGCAGGGTGAAAGGAAAAAAAGGATTCACAACTTCTAGGGTAGATAGTACTCGTCGAATGATGAAAAAATAAGCTAGTAGACATGGGTCGGAAGATTAATACTTCCAAAGTTATAAACAATTTTTTGTTTCGGATAAAGGGAGTGACTTTCTCGTTTTGGGAGCTATTGTACCGTATGGAAATAATGAAGAAAATTGTAAAAGTATTAAAAAAAATGGTGAACGCCTGTAAGTTTACCATTTCTCTGTTATTTCCTGCTTATGTGATTTCTTCGGGAGAAGAAGAAAGTCGGTAATATTTGATATAACAATAATGAAAAGTTAGGTAGTGGAAGAAGTTTAAACGAATTGGATGTAGCTTTAATACCATTTATGTGTTATTATTAACTAGTACGAAATTTAAAATTCTGCTAGATTTTAATTTTCACATGTTACTATCTGAAATTGTAAATTTACATAAGCATCCGCAAACTGCTCATTAAAGACCGATGTAAATATCAGTTTAAACATCGACCATGAATTGATGGGAGGATCTAACATTGACAATAGGGGGCTGTAATTTACAAGTGTGATACATTCAGGCGCGGATCCTACTGTGTGCATGGTTGAACGACACTGTTGACTCACAGCGGCTAAGGGGTTAATTATTATGCTGTTGCGCGTGACTACAGTTAGACTTAACTGGACACGTGATTAAAATCATGTGCCGTTACTTAGACATTATTTCTTCGGATGAATTTGTAAATGGAACATCATCGTTTCGTAATTGAAATTTATTCCCCCGTCGTCTGCCGGCGATACGCACATATTTGTTTCGCATCGTCACGTGTGTTTTAATCGGAATCAATCATTTAACTTGATTTCTGCTTTGGAAACGTTCCGGTATCGTATTACGGTATTATCGTATTTGACCGTTGGCGGTTGTTTGTTAAATTACGACGAACATTCTTAATTGAATACATACAACATGAAATAAATAAACAAATAAAATAAAAATGTGGATGATATGCAAACGAAAGTTCATTAACAAAAATAGACAAGTAGACGATTACGAGAATTTTTTTTGAACAAGAAGAGTTTTATTTTGTAAAACTTTATTTCACATGGGACTTGGCTGTGTGACTACGAAATTATTTTCTCTTAATTATGAGCATAAATTGTATGGTAACTGAGAAAATATCGTTTTGTGACACTAATGAATTACGATTCAAAAAGTATGTACAAGGAGAGAAAAGCTGAGTAAACGAATAATATTGAAACTACAAGAAATTGAGTATACAAAATGTAAATGAATAAACACTTTCGATTTAGCTACTGCAAAGAATTATTTATATGAATAATAAAATGTTTAATTTTAATAAAACATAATATGTTAGACAAGAAAATTTAACTGAAAATACATTACGTTATTTTTAATGTAAAAAATTCTTTGATCGATGAGACACACTTTACGTTGATCCTTATTTCTATGAAAATAAGTATAATATCTTTGACAATAGAAAAATGATTAGTATAATTTAACATAATTTTACGAAACTAGTACTGTTTGTCATTCTACTCTATAATATTTCATTCTATTTATCTTAAAACAGAACAACATTTTGTTGTCTAGTACCATCTCGTACGAATCTAGAACGATAATGTGAAATTCCATTCCGAAATCGAAAATTAACATCACATCATCCAATGGATGAAAAACGACAAATAAACGGATAAAAATACGAACAAAACTGGATAAGGAAACAGTTGTTTCAAATCACCCCGAGAATCGTCCCATTTAAGGACTTACAACTATTTTTGGACATTTTGTCATAAACTCCAAATACTTTACACCAATAAATAAGTAAATAATTGACAAACTACATAATGAATTGAAATAGAATTTAGATAGATTGAAATAAGAAGACTACATTCCACGTGTACCAGTTTAATAGTGAACGTTTGGACGATCGATTCGATGAAATCTCGCCGATGAGAAAAACTGAACCACATTATGACATTTCCGTTGACGATTGCGTAGCGAACGATCGTCGTTTCCACTCACGCATCGGCTACATGGAAAGGCGCGGGTGACGCGCGCGGATAGACGTCTCCTAGAAAGTCCTCGACGTAACGATCGACTCATCGCGATCGCAAGACGACCGTTTTTTAAAGTCGAGGCCGGACAATAACGATTCGTCGTGGGCACATACGACAATACACGAGCGGCATAGTAATTGCGGTTTCAGAAACGAAGAATTCATAGTGCATCCTAACTGGCAATCGACTGTAATTAGCCATTTATCAAAAAGTTCCACTTCTGCGAAAGGTCGAGCTGTTGGCACGGTCGGTTCTTTAGCTTTTTATGGATGTGACCCGTAACTACTGAAGGTTAAAAACAGGCTGAAAAAAAATCTCTCGAATGTCCCTCGTGCATCTTGACACGCAGAAAGTTGGCATTTCGAATATTTAACGGATGATCCTAAGCTTGCGAAACAACCGTTGTAGACGGTATTGTAAAGTTAACTCGTATTGTAAAGTTAACGATTCTCAAAAATCGATAAATTCACTCTTTTTGTAGAGATACTAGAATGTAGATTTTTTTTGGCGAAATGACATATTCTAAAGTGGTTTATAAAGACAAAAGCAAAGTGGGATTTTTTGTCTCTTCTTGTGTATCTTATTGGGTTCGGAATAAAACAGAAATCTCTTATATCTGATGACAGTTTTATTTTTTTATTGGATTTGACTGAGCCCAATAGGCTGCAGATGCATAACATCCACAGTCTGATTATCACATTGTAATGAATCAACCCTCAAGGACATGGACCGTGAATACGTCATTCCTGTTTTCGTAATTTTAAAAAGTAGCAGCACACTTTTTGTTTATCTTTTAACTTAATAATTTTCTTTTTTAATAAGAGATAATGAGGCTGAAAAAAGAGATTTCTCGAGTAAAATAATTTAGAGAAATAGAAGACCTTTCCGTATCGGTGGCGTACTTTTGGAGCAAAGGACATGCTCGATTAAATATTATATTTACTTTATCACTGTCAATGATGACGATGTCGATCGTATATTAAACTATATTCTATTCAAAAACTACCATGGTCACGGCAGTTTCTTTATTTAGATTAGAATGACGCTATAATAAAAAATTGCAAGTTATAAGTTTGTAGTGAACCCGTTTGTTGAAGACATACATACAGTTGGTAAAATGGCGATATAAACGGAAAGAAGGGGGTTTCTTATTATAGCAAAAATAAATCAAGATTATACGATACATTTTTTCCCTTAAGACTTGATTTTGGGAAAAACCGATTTTGAGTATTTGTTGCATAGAGATAATTTGAAGAATGAGTTTCTCTAATTAGTTCTCTGGAAGTTTCATTATAAATAGGAAATTCCGTTTATATTCGACATGGTGTCGTTGTTTCGGCGGCATTTTCAAAAGAGACACATTCCTCATTAACAGTCGCCGAGCATCACGTCATTGACCAAACTGTCGCTTCGATTCGTCGAACTTGCACAGTTCTCTGAAACTCGTGTGTTAGCCTCGATTTAATAACCCTGTGTCATTACTGGTCGTCATTAAAACTGCTTTAATAATACGTGGATGTTTAGTGTAACGTGTTTATATTTAGACTGTCTTTCAAATACGTTGAAATATGTACAATGACATTAGATACATAGCATATAAACGAAAATGTATTTGAAAATCGTCAATTTCACCGAGAATCGTCAATGTAACCGAGAGGTGAGCACATGCTTGATTTTGGTATGGGTCGTAAAAATGGTTTTAATGTTTCCTCTGTATTTTGCTTATACGGTCGATAGTGCCTTGTATATGTATATGGCAGGAAGGTGGTGTTCTGTTTGTCGTTATTATTGGAGGTGGATATTAAAATTATTACAAAATTTGCGTTAGCCACCTTAACCATTTAATGTTTGACGAGTATACTCACGAGGGAATGATGACTTTTTAAATAATAACGAGTATACTTGTCACGTGAAGAAATAAAGTACCATTTGCTATAAAAATTAAAATTTTACTAAAAATTGAAAAATATGTTTCTTTTATTTAGAATAAAAGAAACAAATTGTTACACACTTTCGGAACAAAATTCCACAGTTACAGGGTTAATCCATTCAATCCTGTGTATTGTCTCCGCAAGTATAGTTTCAGTAACAATCGGGAACGCCACGTGAGTTTCTATTACGCGTGTTTATGCGCCGGTATCCGTTCCGAAAACTCGCACGCGAAGCGACTGGAATGCTCCTCTTATTATATTCCGTCGCTGTGGCGTCACTCGACGCTGTAATATCTTACTGCGGTCTGGGTTACTAAGAAAGCTTTTGTTTCGCGGCACGGGGAGGACGCGCATTGGACACCCGGCTTTATGTGCCGGAACGTAATCTCGCGTAAGGAGCGCTCCACCACGCGTGACATACAAGGCGAAACGCTCCCGTAGATTTTTCGAAGTTTCTTACGAAGCGAATTCTCTGTTCCTAATGTCCTCGGCTGCTCGTATTCCGAACCGTGGAAAGCTCAAGAGCTCGTTTCTTATTCAGAGCAGAGGATTTCACGAGCACGATATCTCGAAGCTATGCTGTTGCTTATTGTTTCGGGCATTGAAGCAATTTATTTAT